TCCATTCTTTTTATGAACATGCGGTTATAGGTAATGACATCTATTTCTTCTTCAGAATTCATCGTTGACTCGAATACCATTCCTTGCGGTATCAAATAAAAAATAACAAGTGGAAACGCGAAAAAACCTTTTCCGCCCGATTGTGTTTTGTGCCGAGCAACGAAATTATATTACGTAAAATTGATTTCTCGAAAAAAAAAAGTCAAAGAGGCAAATAAACAAACCCGTAACGGGATTAAAACCGCGGAAAGCGCCTCTCTGTGTGCTTCATTATACGTTGATTTAATTTTCATGCTGCGTTATTTATGGAAAGAAAGTTTTTAAATTAGCCAGACCGGATTCGAATTTCGCGGAATCGCGAGATGAAAATTTAATCTGGCGCAAAAACACAACCTGTCGTAATATTTTGTACTAGTATATACTTTTATAATGTTTAATTAAAGTTAATTTTTTACTCGTTTTGTAAAATGTTGTCAAAGTTAACACCACGCCACTGACTTAAAAATAATTGAACAATGTATACAGGGGGGTTCATCGTGGACAATAAAATTGAAGTTATTTTTAAATAAAGCAAATTAGAACCTCAAATAAGTCTAATTCCCCCAGATGTCACATTACCTAACCTTTGGAGTTTGTTTTAGAATTTAAAAAAATATATGTTTTTTTCCAGTAAGTGGGAGATGATAGATTAGGGATCGGGAGGTGGAAGTCAACGTATTTTGGTGCAATGTGATGATAACTTTTAAGTTTTGAACTTAAGTACTATTGTTTTTTCTCAAAAGCCGTTCTTTGTTAACCATATACCTTGTTCTTTCGTTTGAATTTTTTAATTATTATCAAAATAAGATTTTAAGCATTTAATTTAGTCCAGAGTCTTAGTAGTAATAATAGCAAAGAAGGGCGAGTTTAGATAAAAAAAAAGTGGAGGTCTGATCCTACATCAAACCAAACCAAGCAGATGAATGCAATCAAAAAGTTAATGTACAAATATCTAACAAGTAAAAAAAAAACTGGAATGATGCAAACAAGAGAATATAAATACACTTACAGGATAAGAAAAAATAAACAAATAAAAAATAAAAATCACACCCGGGTTGACACGGTTATAACGGTTGTTAAATTTAGTTTCTGGGAAATTGTTTTCTTAAGTGTTCGTTTTGAAACTGATTCTTTAGGTTATGAAATTTGGTAGAATATAATTTCTAAAGACCTGAGGTGTTAGCGTTCTCCAAATATCGCATATTTTAATTGCATCTCATTTCTTTCCCAAATCTAAATCGTTTTTACATTAGTTTTGCATCTTTTGAATATATCTTTATTTATTATTAGTATTTTATGGACGCTTGCCGATAAATTTAGATCAACACACTCTCTATTTACATTACCAAATAAGTCCAAAGGCGTGCTTCATCACATAATGCCCAATAATAGAATCAGAATGATATTATTATTGGAAGCGTTAGGGATGGTCATAACCGGCGATTCACAAGAGTTTGGTTAAGTGAGAACTTAAATTTTCATTCGGAGACCGTTGGACATTCTCCGTAGTTTGACGTAGGCCTGACCATTGGGACCATGTGATTTGCGTTATATCTAAAGAGTAAAATTTAACATGCATACTCCAGTCTAGAGAGATATAAAAAATCGAACTCTAGACTGGAACCTTCGGCACTGCACTAACACACAATAACGCGTTTTACCACAAACCGAAACTCAATTTTACGTACTCCACGCGCGGTTCGCCAACCAAGTTGGCATCTTCAGGAGAAGATTAAAACTCAGTTTTTTTTTTAGTTTACAATCGAAGCAAACACCCAAGTCTTTAATACTAGTGACGGCCTCGATCTCGATTACACTGGTTGTGAACCATACTCAACGAACGACTAAAGCCAATACTACAGCATTTCTTTACATTGAACGCTACACCACATGCAAACACTATCCACGTCTCGCTGAAGCAGCAGAGCATCCTCGCGCGATCCGACCCTGCTGAATATCTTCAAATCATCCGCGATTCCGAAACTACACTAACAATATCATTTATAAAGAAGTTAAAAAGAATGGGTCCAGTGTGAGAACCTTGAGGGACTGCCGAAAAAATATCAATTTTACCTGAGACATAATTATTAATACGAACCAATTGAGTACGACCAGATAAGAAACACTCAAAGGCGTTCAATAAAAATTGTTGGTAGGTGAGTAAATTTGTTACAAATCCATGCTGAATAAGCAGTTTTGGAACCACCTGGAAACGCCTCTATAGTTAGCTACATCGCTTTTATCAGGACTCTAGTAAATCGCCAAAAGCCAGGCAAAATACCTGAAGACAAGGACAGGTTAAAAATATGCTGTAGTGGCCTACTCAAAGTGCAAACACAATTCTTAATCAAGACTGATGGAAGTAAGTTCATAAAACTATTCAAACACACTCATGGAGTTAAAGTCCAAACTACAATCAGGAATCACACCCTCACACTTTTCATAAGTAGAAGCAAACTGCTTTGCAAACAAGCCAACAATATCCTGACCACGGTTGGCCTTCCTTGTGTAGTTACCATAACAGCCATTTATATTTAGGCAAGATTCCTCACTCCACCCGCCTAAATGAGTATATTTTATGAATGACTTACGCGGTCTCTAGTTCTGGCAGTCATTAATACGTTCTCCAACTCCAAAGGAAAATTAGGTTTTAGTTTCGGAAACAGTCAACCATTTTCGTTTACCCGCTTCGAGCGTCCACCAATTTATACTGTTAATCATCAATAACCGCGTAGCATGTTGGCCTTTTCCTTGTCAAATATTTCTCGCATTGTTGTCATTTCGTTGAAACGCGCTTTGCACTTGGTTGAACGCGCGTTATTCAACGAGTCGGGTGGGCGGGGGGGTATGGGGGTCACTATAAACCGCCGTCGGGGGACAACCAGAGCACAATTATTGCTGCAACGCGAAGCGGGGACCTAATTTAATTGATAACATTTCGCCGCCGATCGGATCGAAATCGAATTTTTCTGACGTGACATTTCCCTCTGGCGATTATCCGTGCGACACCCAGTACGGTGGCAATAAATTACGGCAGCTTATACGCGGCCCCGCTGCATATTAAACAGCCGGCCGAACAATCGGACTCTATGATCTTCAAAAATTCTGTAATTGCTGTTGGTTACCGCGCGTGGTGCGTGAAGGAGAGATCCTGAGACGATCGCCGAAGTCGGAAAACGAACGTCGATAATATTTCGCGCAGTGCGAACAGTATTTTTAAATGCTTTAAATGTCCGATGCCCAGTCACTGAAGTATTGTGGCATTCAAAATGTACTAAAACCCGATTTTTCTATGTAAACCTAGTGTGAACGATCTTCACACAGCTAATTCCAAATTTAACCATTAAAAATTAGAATCAACAAATATTCCCAGTTAAGTCTAGTTTTGACTGAATACCTATTTTCAAATTGAAACAAAAAAATCGATGAAGTCGAATTTTTCGAAAGTATATTTGCTTTTCAACGAAACATATCTTCGCAACAGTTGGTGCTAGGGGACCCCACTGGACAGATCAAATCACCGGAAAAAAGCAACTTTTTTTTGTCTGTTTCTCCGTTTTCTGTCCTCCATTTCTCTGTAGATTTGGCATTGAATTAGCTCCTGTTAAGCAGTCCACAGGACGCAATCCTATGAGAAATTGACGCGATTTGTGTCCATGTTTTTTTAATTTTCGACTGTTTTTTGCACATCACTATGTCCGAGATTTGAAGCCATCGACTTCAAATTTGGCAGGTAAATTGCGTTTCGTCCCCTAAGGAAACCTATTGAAGTTGGGCGCGGCTGGGGGGCCGGGCGGTATTTTAAAAAAATTAAAACACGCTTTTGCAGAAAAAAATGATTTTAGAAAACCGTTTGTGGGATCGAAAAATTTATTGGACCAAAAGATCCGCGAGATTCAGTTCTATAAAATCTTTATTGTTGGTAATTGTGGAAAACATACAGCGTGTCCAGGGTATTCGCAAAAATCTGAAATAAAATTGGCTATAACTAGAAGAATGTGATTCAGTGTCTTACCCGATGATATAGCTCCTACGGAAAGCTAAAAGTTTTGTATATGATGTTTTAGAATATTGTATAAGGTGTTTGAGATATTCTATCGTATATTCCGAAATATATTAGATGTGTCCAATTTGCAGGTATAGACATCTGAAATCTAGAAATTGGCTGTAGTATAGTATTTTTTCAAATTTTTTGAAAATTTTTTTTGAGTTGTTTTGGCTTGCACAAACAAAATATTTTCTTTAAATCTATTTACCGGATCAACAAAATTCTTGAAACAAACGCGAAAGATCCAGCATTATAACTTTTATTTTACGCATTTTTTCAATTATATACACGGTTTTTCAATTATGGACAAAAATCTAAAAGACCTTGAAAATTGTTTTCGTCTATTACATACGCTGTTCGAGATATTTGAAAAAATCCATATGAAACTCACTATTTCTCGCCTTCAATCTAGACGCGATGACGTCATTTACTATTACGGCGTACGCATAGATACAGAAAATGACATATTTTCTCAATAACCATTTACCCTATTGGAAAAATTCATGGGCCAGGAAACGTGGGAAATCCAGGGCTCTTACAGGGTGTGTTTTTGGGCAACAATTCTTTGCTTCGCTTTGCAGTGACAAACAAATTTTGTCAAATGGTCCTTGCACACCGTAATAAACTTGAACCAGTTTTTTCTTAATGGTTCTTATGGTTCGGTGGTTTATTTAGAAAAGTGCATTTTCTCCAAAATTTATGACCATTCCTGTTTCGATTCACACTAAATGGGAAATTGGGATACTGTATTCAAATGGTCGCCAAATTTCCCAGCACCTTCGTCACACATCCGCGATTCTCGTGTGAGATTGTCGCAAAAGGACTTATTTATAACGGCATTCTTTATTTGTTATCCGTATTTTTGTCCTGAAAGTTACTTATTTATAACGGCACTCTTGTTTTTCTTTTTCAGGATGAAATAACGGCATTCGGCCAAAGTCCGCCTTAAGGGCCGGACTTTCCCCCGACCATGGGTTTCGTGCTGCGCACATTGCCTATCCTGGCAATACTGTCGCATCGGACCTGCGCAGAACAAGGTGAGCGACGATTTTTCTTTTAACGTTATCATTATACAAAGTCGTTATAGAATAATTCATACGCGACCCTTTGCCGCCCAAATTCCACCAATAACAGTGCCAGTATTTGGTGTTAAGTAACCCCCACACGAAATTGTTTTGTAATCGGCGCGTCGTTGAATAATAGAAAAAGGGGTTGTTCGTTTTGGTTTCGAATTTTGAGCCCCGGTCGTTCGCTCTCGCCTAATAACGGCATTAAATATGCATACCCATATATACGGGGTTAATATTAGATGCTTTTTGCGCTTTAAATGCGACTTTTCGGTTTTTGTTTTAATTAATTTACGTCACATATTGCATTCGATCGTGGCATTTTCTCGAGGCGGAAACCTACGCAACGACTTAACTAATATATAAGCTACGTACTCCCGGTAGCTAAGTGCTTCCTTCCTTAATTAGACTAAAGGGTTAAGAGGGTCATTAATATTTAGCAAGTGCTAAAAAGGTTTTCATTAGATGGGATTGGCCGCTTCGCTGAACTGCGGTAAAGCGGAAGATTTAAATTTATTTAAAACCAAACGCCCATAGATTACTACGGCGTGATTGGTTGTTAGCGCTGAAACCACCGATCGGATTCCTTTTTTTTAAGGGAATTGGAGGCGAAATCCTTTACGTAGCAAGCGCAGGGGAGTGTCACTCCCAGATGAGTCGTGCAATTCAGGTTTACCCACTAAAATCCGACAAGTTTTATTGCAGACACGCACATATGTCCCTGGATTATTCATAATATTTTGAATATAATACTTATAGTACAGGTTAAATAAGATGTCTCAGATTGTCTCGAAAAATTGGTGTTCTTTTATGTGGCCTTTGTATATTATGTATTGGACATTCACTATTAAACCTCGTAATGCTTTCGGTCTGGCTAGTTTTGTTGATCCATATTTTGGTTTTACTTCTGGTATTGATTCTCGAATGTGACGTCCATTCCAGGTGTCTCGCCAATCCTGAATTGTCTGAACTGTTTTTTCTTGTTACCAAGTAGTTTGCTGCTGCGATTTCGCCGTCATCTACTGGTTCCGTCGGTAGGATAATCTCAATTTTTTGAGATACTCTCAATGTATTTCTGCCAAATCCTTCGTCTACTAGAGTAAGCATGTACATCCGAGAATAGTTCGGGTTTTTGGATTTGTTTTTACACTTGTTGTATATATTGTCATGGCTACTTTTCTTCGTAGGATTAACGGCATCAATCCAGATCCACAGTAGTGTTATTGGAAAGGGGTTCCTTATTGTAATTAATTTTCTTTTATTAAAATTGTTTCATCGTCGGTCATCACATGGGGCTAGTATTATTCAATTATTATCATAATACCATGTTTGAAACATAGTTTACTCCCTGTGGTCATAACACACATTGATTGTATACTCAAATTTCCATTTGGGTTGCCCGTCTATTCTTGGAGGTTTATAGCAACTTGTATATTTATGGTTGAAAAACTTTCTTTTGTGAACTGGTAGCTTTCCTTCTCTTAAAAATTATCTGTTGGAACTGTGATTTCTGCGAATGAATATTTGAGGTACATTGCGTAGGAATTGTAGTTGTGACTTGTGTCAACTAAAAGACTTTTCTTTTTTTCTCTTCACACCATTTTTTTGTCCAACTTATTGTTCGCTGTAGCCCTTTTTCAGCCACTTCCTCTGTAAACTATGGTTTTGGTCCTTTTTTCCCAGCCAATATCTCCACATACGTGAACTTAATTGCCTTTTTTATGTTTTCATATTGGAATATAAACGAATTTTCTTATTTGTGTTATGCGAAACCACAATCCCGATACAGTTAAGTGAACTCTGTGTTTTCTGATTATGTAGTCAATGATAGGATATCTACATTTTCGTATATATTTATATCGATCGCTGATAGATGATGTGTGATCACAAAGTAAGGTAATTGGGTGGGCTACGTACATTCAATCTTCGATATATTTCTTGGTATGTCTCTAATATATTCAGCCAGTTTGCATGTTAATTTTTTTTTTAGCCAAAAACAAAACCACAATCATGCCTCAGCCACCATTTTCACCGGATATGGCTCCCTGCGACTTTTTCCTGTTCCCAAAACTCATGAAACCCATGAAAGGAGGGAGGTTTGAAACAACTCACATAAAGAAAAAATTGCTGGATTGTATCTGGGCGAGGGGAGAAGGATCACTTGGAAGGGGACACCATAAATTTTCACGAATAAATAAATACTTTTTCATAAAACTTCAAAGTCACCTTACTTTTTGAACACACATCGTGCGAATGTCTACTACGTTTCGAATTTTTATTTCCCATGTAAGTCTACAAATCAAAAGATTCAGCTCTTGTTTTGGTGCTGACAAATAAATTGGTCTATAATATTTTTTTTCTAATTTTGAAAAAATTTATTTGAATTTTACGACATTTTGAAATAAATATTTACCACCTTTTTAATGGACGGCCAGTCAATAAAAGTTTGATTCAAATAAATATGTCTTTTGAAATCCCACTAACGCGAGATATTTGTAAAAATATGGTTGCAGGTCGCTATTACTGGCACAAAGCTTCACATTTACCAAAGTTTGACGTGACTTTGTGGGTAGGTTGAGTGCATATTTGAAAGGAACTTTATACAGGGTGCACGCAAATTCCATTGATTTTGCGAATATCAGGAGCACGATGTTTTGCGAAAGCGGGCAAGTTCTTCCCTCAAAATATTATACTGTTATTGAATATCGATCATAATTTCATATCAACTACCACTGTGTGCTGTTACGAAGGAGAGAAGGTATCTTTGGCCCAAAAGTTGCGGGACTGTCGCAGACCCTTATTGGTTTTCCCAACCGCATCGCAATCATTGCCCCGCGTACGTTTGGGCCGCTATTAGCCCGGACGAAATCGAACGAATCCCCCAATTAAACTCGAATTAATATTTGAAGCTCTAATTAACCCCCGTCCCGCGCAACCTTTTACCCGCAATCTACCGTTAAACAACTGGCGTCCGGGACCGCGTAATGCGCAATACGTACGCCGTAATTAAGGTCTCGATTGCCGCGGTAATTGGTCCGTCGTAATTGCGATTTGTTACAAGACGGATCCACATACGCCGGATCAGATTATGTTCATAAAACAATAATAGTCTCGGGGTGCCGTAGTAATCGAGTTATGTCTGCGGAAACCCCTGGGATAGTGCGGGAATCAGCATGGTTGCCAGTTCTGGCCATTTCGGTCGGTCTCAAAAAAATTGTCATCATTCCGCTATACACCGACGACAAGAATTTTTGTCGCATTCATCTCACGTAGACGCAATGGGAAAGAAAGTCGGTAAATTTTTAGACCTTCTTTTAAAAAATCATACTGGCGCGATTTCATATATAAATTGTCACTTCTATCAGAAATTGCTTCAAGAAGAAAAATATATAATATAAAAAATATATATAAAATATCTTATTGCACTTCTCTTCCATCCTCCTTCCTCTAAATAAAATTTGCCTCACAAAATCCTTATTGGCTGCATTATCAGCCCCATTGCACATTAGATGGAGTTCACTGTTGGTAACCCCAGGGGTCAGTGGCGGGGACGGTATTTAAAATGAATACGTATGGTAGAGTACGGCTTATGAATATGAGGGCACGTGTGAAAAGCATCGCAAATCGGATTGGCAGATCGAGCCGCTATTTTTTTTTGCCAACGAAATGCAACGTAAGCCCGTACAATACAAAAGGCGTTTCAGTTTAAACTGTCCGCAAATTAAAACGAACGCGATGTGCGAATCGAAGCCGACATTGAATTATAAACAAAGTTCGCACAATGTGCAACTCATTCTCTGGTTAAAAGAACTGGATTAAAAGGTGGTTACGGGAAGGACAGCTTTACAAACTTTTTCCGGGTTGTTGTGCCATTTTGGGTTGAACTACAGCTGTCCGAATGTTTAATTTGGAATCGAACTTTTATATAAATTTTTACTGAAATTGTTCTTAAAATTGTGGCTCACGGTTCTCCTTGAAACACCACGAAATGTATCTTTAAAAGTTTTCATCATTGGTGTAGTTTTCTTTCTCGATATCTTTTTATGCAAAAAAAATTAAATAAAAATTACGGCAGAATTTGGGATCTACAACAACATAAATTGTCTTCTTTATTTAATTGGCAATTCTCAGTCTAGTGGCCATTGTAAGAATGTTTAAAGAAAACATTCAATCAAACAACTGCTACAACTGCATATTTGTTGAGAATTTTTCGATTGGTTTTGGTTTTTTAAAGCCAATTTAGAAATATGACTTACAATTTGATGTCTTATGTCATTACGAAGATTTATAGCTCTTTAAATATTTATTTATTTCTTTGGTGAATATTAGGGACACTGCAGAAGAACTCACTTCAATGCTTAGTGTGGTCCATATTAATTATTAGTGTTAGTCAATTTGAAAGGGTCCCAGATGGGAACCCTGTGGAATAATAAAGATGGGAGCTGGATTGAGATTTGGATCCCCGATTCCCAGTTTCAAAAATGTATTATGACAACCAACAAGGTAAATGAATTTGTTTCGACTAGGCGACCAGATATTTATTTGCCAGATAAAAAAAAAAATCGGTCGCCGACATTTTACTTAGAAACTAGGCTGTCCACTTGTTGATTTGTTGTATCTTTCTAGCAATAGTTCACAATTTAGATCAGCCGCTTTTTTAAAGAAAGGGTTAACGTTTAGCAAAGAAAAAAAGTATCCTTTAAACATCAATATTGTTGAAAGAGACGACCTTGAAAAGTACAACTTGAAAGATTCCCTATATCCTTTTCATTTTTGGCATTTTAGCAATAGATCTAATATAGAATGGAATCATTTTTTGAACTGATTGTAATCGCACTGAACTCGCAAGTAATATTGGTTAGTTTCAGAACCTCGTCACACAACCAATAGCATCGCGTGATTAATAGAGTAAGACCAGTATCGGCATTCAATGTAGGAGAATGGATCTGGAATGCTGTTGGCTGAGGCGA